GATTCACCACCTTTTGTCAGCGCTGGTTAAATTGAAATATATCGCGGGTCTGAGCGAAATTTTATTAAGCTAAATTGTTATTTTCCTTTCACTGTACGGATTATGTTGTCAAGATTTTGTTATGTCACGTACTGACGTGTTTTTTAAAGCGAAAACAAAGACCCTCATCACATACACAGCTTAGGAAGCCGTTGCTTCACAAAGAAGTCAGCATTCAACGTCGCAGAAAACCTCGTTATAGTTGTGAAATTTACGTTCCAAATCGTATTTAGTGACTCTCGCCAAAATCCAAGACACGCCAGCGCGCAAGGTCGCGATGAGTCACTCGAAATGCATTCTATCCTTTGATCTGATTGGCGAACATCAAAGCAAAAGGTTTTACGTGAGGGAAATCGTTTTGTCGTTCATGTTCGCAGACGTTATTTTTCGGAGGGAGAGAGGCGACGACCGCAAATACGTCTGCGGTTCGCAGCCTACAATCGCATTTAAAATCGAACAAATGAGGGTTTATTTATTCTTGTTAATATTGTCTTATACGAATCAAGTTAAATTTTGTTAAACACTTACAAATAAATATAAGCGAAAAAAGTTTAACACAACGTTTCGATGTCGCCATGACATCATTATTAAGTGACAAAGATAAAACTTAAAACTGACTTACGGTTTAAAGTGACAAAATAAAGAGTGTAAATGAAAAAAGTGGAAATATGTTAACAAACAGTTTTTCCCGGATGGAGTCTGATTGTGTGTTTAGGCTTAGTTTCTTCTCCTTAATAAACAGCATTTCGTAAATCAGGCAGTCTAATTTTCCTGCACTTCTTGAGCACGAAAAAGTTGCTGCTCAAGTCGCCTATGGTTTTTTAGCCGTGGACATTCTTTAAATGCCTCCCGATTGGCGAGTGATGGTGTTCATCAATGCGTTGATGTAAATGCCGGCTCGTGTAGCCGCGGACATACTCTGCATCGCGCATTGTTGATTTATAAAGGGTGGTTTAGACTCACGCATTTTAAAATCATTATGCACCAATTTTTTTGGCTCCTAAATACTGGTTGAAGGATGTAGCCGATTTACAAAATGACAGAAACAGAGAAAGTCGTTCAAAACTATTGAGGCAAGACGACGGCGTCTTTGAAGATTGCCAGGCTTCCTGCGGCTTTGATAGGAATTCAAATTGGTGTCCGATCTTGCAAACCACACACTGACCACAACTTTTTTAACACAAATGCCTATTGCGGATGAACCCAAGTTGCTTTGTGGCTCTTTTCCTGGCAGCCGAGTCTAAACCGGGTATTCAAGTGTCTTTTTTGTAGTTGCAATTGCCAGAACTCAGTGGAGAAAAGTCTTCCAAAAATTTAGAAAATGAGGCATTGGGTGGCAGAGAACAAATTATTGTTAAATTTTACAACTTTCACACAGCCTGCGATGGGAACAACGAGTTGAATTGTACATTAAAAAAACATTTATTTTCCATTAATGGTGATTAAGATTTTCATTAGCGTTGCGCAATCAGCTTTTAAAAATTGTTCGCATCTTTTCCTTAAAAACCAAACAGAAACTGAATATAAATAGGGATAGATTATAAATCATTTTAAAGACAGTTTTCTTACCTTTTCGTCTCCATCTCTTAGATTCGATTGTCTTCTGTTACCGTCAGCAGAACAGACAAAAACTAATGGTGGCTGTATTTCACTCTTTTGTAACTTAAAGGCAATATGATACGATACCTGTATCTACTGTTAATTTCTGTCATACGCTCCGAACATTACTTTATGGCGACTTCAATTTTCCCCCTGCTAAAATGTCAAAAGAACATAGTAATTACCTTGCATAAACCAAAGGTGATACCAGTTCTCATGTGCAAATATAGATATATTTATCAGAAAATATTTACTGACTTACTTCATTGGTTTCATAATCTTAACCTTGAATAACCGTCTTGGGGCCGATTCCGCCTAATGTTCGTACAAAGAAATATTTAAAAATGGAGGAACGTAGCATGAATTTGTCCATGAAAATACGGATTGTACAATGTGATTTTGACTCCAGTTTTACTCAGAGTGGCAAACAAAAAAACACTAACGAATGTTTATCCAAGACCTCGATGTGTCATACGAATCGATGGTATAAATAATTACTCAAGGAAGGGCGAAATTATCCTTGCTCAAACTAGAGAATATCTAAAACTTTCGCTTCAGGACTCGGTATAACTAAAACATCGAGTTTATAATGCATTACAATTCTAATTTAGAAATTTAATGATTTCATTCTGAATCCACTCTGTAGAAATATCACCGCTAAATGTCGTTTTACACTTTTAATTTACTTGTGTCTTAAGAAAGCCCTAATCGCACACAGTCGCTACACTAGTTTGTATCCTACTGACTACAGAAGAAGCAAAAATCGGCACAGACGGTAATAGTGCGTGGCTTTTCCATGTAACTTTGAAGTAGCTTTAAATACCCGTAAAACGGAGCACTAGTGAAAAGAGGGGAACCGGCTAAAATGGGCGTCAGGAGTTTGTCGTTCAAATAATGAGTGTTGTAGTTTTGTAATTTGTTTAACTACGGAACACATAAGAGTTGTTAAGAACTCGTTTAAATGTGCCATTGCTATCCAGATCGAATATGAATTTGGAATTATGTGTTGGTTTTTGAAGAGAGGGGAAACCGGAGTACCCGGGGAAAGACTTTTCGGAGCAAGAAAAAGAACCAGAAATAAACGAAACCCAGGCTTGAAATGAATTTACGCGTTAATTACAAAGGTTTTTTTTTTAGTGTTGTAGTACATATTCATTCTAATCTCTTTTTAACTTATGAAACTGGAGAATGGAAGGCTTGAGCAAAATTTCTCGTCGAACCGAGCAGTTTATCGGTCGCTATTTTATTCGGCCGAATTAATTCATTACTGAGATTCAAGGTGACTTAGTGACTTCGAAGGGTGACTGGCTGTTCAAGAAAATCAATTCTTTAATTTCATGTAAAAGACAGTTTTCAGGCGAGAAAATTTATGAAAAGTTTCATGAAAAAAAATTTAATTTCTTTACAGATAAATATCAGAGTAATAAACTTGCGATTGTCAATACGAATTTAGCACATGAAATTGATTGAAGTCTAGATCTATAACCAGCATAAAGAACCGGTAACACGAGCAAGCACTCGATAAATAAGTCTTATTTTTTTATACTGTAAAGGAAAAGCTTTATGGGGCGTTTACTGATGAATTTAAGAAATCGTCGTAAAAAATGGAACTTCGAATTCAAGAGGAAAGTTTGTTTTTTCTTGCTGAAGACTGGGGTCAGGGATACCTTATAGAAAGGAAAATCACTTTTTGGAGGAGCCATGAAAGCTCCCATATAAAAATGGCTGAGATCTTTTACAGAAGTTGCGAATGGCCCTTAGCTTGAAATTTTTAGTCTTAATATCCGCTTCGTAACTGCGTTGCAACGCTTGGAAACACAAAAGAAAGCAAAAAAAGACATGTTCAAAATATCCGCATATATATGGATAATTTTATCTTGATTCATTTTAGTGTGAAATATTTTTCGGACAGATCATAAACAAAATCGCAAGAAGCCGCTATTTTCAGACTATTGATTAGGACATACACTTGCTGCCGTCTAATAATATATTCAATTAACTAAAGTATAACTTTTAGTTGTATTTCGTTATTTTTTGCTGTCCTTTTCTCTTTGTTTTGTTTTAACATCAAGAAAAACGAGCGCAAAATAAGTATTTCGCAGGTAAGCAACAAAATGAACCGTGCAACATTAAGGCTCAGGGATTTGTCAGCATTTGACGTCTTTGCCTCAGTGAACATTCCACCCAATTTCAGCCCTCCAAAGTTCTTAGCAGTCAAAGTAAGGCAAATCTCATTTATTGGTAATTATATGGGAGATAATAAAGTATACAATGAATATTTCAACATTTTACAAGTCTTCGAAGTATATAAGAAGTCACTATAAGATGTATTTCTCTAAGAAGGGGCAAAAGGAAACCAAAGGCTTATCCATTTCATGGCAGAGCGAGAAGAGCAAAAGCTTGGAAAATATTGATTCGTGCATATACTTCAAAATATAAATCATAAAACACACGCTTTGCAGGAACCCTGTAATTAAATCGAATCTATATAGGGTAATAATTTATTTCAAAAACTTTTTACCGAGCAAATTTACAGGGTTCAGAGCGCTCGTTCTTCCAGTTAAGCAGACGAAATTAGTATCCTTCCAAATTTCTAATGGTATCTCTTTTTAACCTATGGAATTGGATAAAGGAAGGCTTGAGCGAAATTTCTCGTGAAAGTTTCCTACCCGAGCACTGTAGCTCCAAATAATTAGACGGAGTGTAGCTAAATGTCGTGGGGAAAAAAAGGTATAGAAAAAATGATAAAGTAAAGAAAATGAAAAAAATGAATACAAAAAAGTTGTAATATATTTATGAAAAGAAAATCTCCGACTTCTTGATTGCCCTTTTTACGACTTCTTCTTCGTCCTCTTCCTGATATTTCCTTAGCCACGTGGGACTAGACCTGAAATTTTAACGACGACGTTTATCCAAACCCACGACCCACGACCTCTACCCACAGCCCACTACCCACGACTCACGACACTTACCTACACTCTCTAATAATGTATTCGATTCTGCTGCCCAAATTCCTTGGAATTTCAAGCATATCGATTATTTCCATATCCACGTGAAATGATAAATTATTTTTCAATCAAAGTTTCAGCAATTTATAAGAAAAAAATGTACGTACATTTCTTTATTTTTGGCTGTCTTATTCCTTATTTTTCACATCAAGAAAAACAGCACAAAGAAAACAGGTACAGGAATTTGTCATGATTTGGACGTCTTTGCCTCATTAAACATTCCACCCCAGTTCAGCCCTTCAAATCTCTAGCAGGTGAAGTAAGGTGAATCCCATTGGTCAAATGTCAACCAATCACGTTATGTTTTTTTGGAGTTTTTAAAATATACATTTAGCAGATCGCGTAAAAGCTCAACATCTGCAAGTAGGTCATAGTACCCGAGTAACAGAAGGAGCAGTAAGAAGATAGCCAGAAATTTGAACGAAACGTAAGTTTGCTAAAAAGTGAACATTGTAAGTAAAAATGCTCATAATTCTTTTTTTTCTGTTACTTTTTGATTTAGTAGTTTATCCTTTTTAAGAATAGTAACATGATGATTTACTTTATGCTTCTCAGTTCCACATCATCTAAAGGTATTTTCTGCTCTTGTACCTGTTCGCGGAGCTGTCTACCAGCTTGGTTATTCTTTTTCACGAACATAACCACAGCTAGCCTGCGAATCGCAGACGTATTTCCAGTCGTCGCTTCTTTCCCTCCGAAAAATAACGTCTACGAACATGAGCGACAAAACGATTTCCGTGACGTAAAACCTTTTGTTTTGATGTTCACCAATCAGATCAAAGGTCATAGAATGCAGCTTGAGTGACTTACCGCCACCTCGCGCGCTGGCGTGTCTTGGATTTTGGCGAGATTTACCAAATACGATTTGGAACCTGAATTTCACAACTATATCGAAGTTTCCTGCCGCGTTGAATGCTGACTTCTTTGTGAAGCACCGGCTTCCTAAGTTATGTATGTGATGGGGGTCTTTGTTTTCCCTCTAAAAAATGCGGTAGTTCTTGACATAACAAAAGGTGGACAAAATAATCCAGCACTGAAAGGAAAATAACATCATTAGCTTAATTACATTTCGCTCAGACCCGCGATTTATTTCAATTTAACCAGCGCTGACAAAAGGTGGTGAATCGATTGTACAGACACATGCTTGACTGATTCAGAAATCTCTGACAATCGCTCGTAAATAATTCAAATTCCTACAAGTATCGCCACAAAACAATGATCTCAAACATACAGTAAACCCCGGACCCAGCGTGAAATAAATATTTAGAGTAGTAAATTGATCATAGTCAAGATGACATTGACCTACGACGCCTCGACTTATCTTATAAAAAACTATGGAAATTAAAACCTTGAAAAGAACATATATTTAAAGAAATATAAGAACAAATATAAAATGCTTTCGATCTGATCAAAGTTCTGTCTGAGCCAAGAAGCAACCACGGATGTCCTAACTTTCAAAGATAACGGATACTAAAAAATATCTAAAGCGGCACCCGAAATACTATCGAAGAATTCTCCAAGAATACTTTTTTCCTGCGAGGAACCAGAAAGGAACAGAAGCAACAAACGTCATGATGCGTCTACTGTCATTGGGACATTTATCGTTTCGAATATGATCAAAACAACAAGGTGTGACAAATCATTGACTCCGTAGGCCAATAGATAAAAAATTTCCCCAAATCTTTTCTTCAATATTAATCCTCTTGGTGCTTATTTCGTTAATCAGTCCCACGATCCGTAAACGCGTCGTTCTGAGGAAAAAATACATCTGTGTTTCCCAGGCTAGAAAAAGAGCAGCTGTACACAAGCAATAGCCTGCGAGAGCATCCGGTTTTTTCGGCTCTAGTTTGATGGTTCCACATAAGAATACACAATAGACAAAGCCTGAAATACTACAGACTTTCCGAAACCAGTTGGAAGATTCACAAAAACATCGCAAGGCTTCCTTTTGATGCTTGTTGAGTCTTTCTAACCAGAAAACTTCCTATTCTTTCCTCAACGCATCTTCCGCCATACTTTCCCACGCGTTGGCGCAAGATCCACGCAAAAACTCGCGCGTTACTTCTTCGAATAGGCGAGGTAAATTCTGATTGGTCACTAACGGCTGACGTCACGGAAATTTTCCTCTCGTTTCGGTTTCGCAGACGGTTTTTCTCGGCGGGTGAAACTAAAGCCGAGAAAACCGGATGCTCTAGCAGGCTAAACCACAGCCTACAAATAATCGTTTATATAACATTTCTGTTTTTAGTGAAAAGGCATTGACTTAATTGTAGTGATTGATGTTTATACAAATATACGATTATACATATATTGTTTTTTTCCAATATGATTTTTTCTACGGTTCTTTTTTTTTATGAAAATGTGAGTTTATTTTGCAATGAGTTCCTTGACTCCCTGAATAAGAGCTTTTGGCATAAAAATAACTAGCATCAAAGCCTTGTTTTTGTAAATTCATATTTTCTTGCTCAAGGAAATGGCATTGTCGGGTGTTATCCTAATACTGATGCCTGCTGTGTTTATGAGCGCTTATGCAGGTAAGAATGGCTTTAGAATTCATTTATTTATATTTTACCATGAAATCACCGTTTATATAAGATCTCAGTTTGAATAAAATCATAATGGTCAATACACTGCAAGCAACCAACTTAACCAACCAGCCACAAAACCAACTAACCCAACCGACTACCCATGAAACAAGCAAACAAATAAACAAACGAACAAACTGACCAACACATCAGTCAACAAACCAGCCGACTAACCAATCAACCAAACGAATCTTAAGAAAATAGAATTTTTTCTGTATTGAGTCTCATAAGCTAAAACGTCGAACAAGGTACTGTCTAGAATCAAGGCTGCAGTCTTTACATTTTGACTGCCCTACTTGATTTAGGGCAGATATAGGATAGGATATCCATCCTTCCTAGGAAATCGTCAAGTCGTTTGGTATATAATCAGGACGAGGAATCGGTTGCAAACTCCTTTAATGAATTTTTTACCTCAGTTGGCCGAACCACTGTTGACAAAATCAAAGCACTTGCCTCTGAATGTAATTACGATCTTACGAAAACAAACTTTGTCCCTACGCACTATCCATTGTCTGAACAATTTTCTTTCCATTCTGTTAATTGTAAGCAAGTTGAACAGATCATCGCATTGTTACCATCAAACAAAGCAACGGGCTTTGACAAAATTTCTGCACGTGTAATCAAGGATGGACTGTCAGTTATTTTGTCGCCGATTACTCACGTCATCAATGCCTCTCTTACAAGTGGCGTTTTCCCTGGAGGATGGAAACAAGCAGAAGTAACACCTATTCCAAAGGAGGTAGATCATGAACAACCTTGTAATAACAGACCGATCTCGTTATTACCAGTATTGTCAAAGGTGTGTGAAAGAATTGCGTTGAACCAGCTGACGGCATATTTAACAACAAACAACCGTCTTTCTGCGAAACAAAGTGGAAATAAGAAATTTTATTCCACATAAACGGCACGTATCCGCTCCACAGATGCCATCTTGACTGGCATGGATACGCAGGAACTCTCTGCTATGGTTTTGTTGGACATAGAGTAAGGCATTTGACAGTATAAATCATGATATTCTCCTTTTAAAACTACAACATCTCGGTATTTCTAAATACGCTCTCGCGTGGTTTACTAGCTACCTGACCAACAGACACCAAGTCGTGCGTATTAACTCGACCCTCTCGAATTTGTTGCGTTTAAATAGTGGTGTTCCTCAAGGAAGCATTCTTGGGCCGCTTCTTTTTAGTATTTACATTAACGACTTACCTTCTGTTCCTAGAAATTGTTTATCGCAATGTTACGTAGATGACACTAAACTTCAGATTTCTTTTAAGATGCGTGATTGTCCGACTGCTATGAACGATCTAAATAGCGACCTCCTTTTAATACGTAATTGGTGTTTTAACAATTTTCTACTTTTAAATCCTGACAAAACAAAACTCGTAGTCTTTGGAAGCCGACAACTACTTGCCAAATTCCCCGACTTCAAAATATCTCTTCTAGGAAAAGATCTCGCTCTTACATCTTCGGCCAAAGATCTTGGGGTTGTTCTAGATCCGCAACTAACGATTGATGACCATGTTTTAAAAACTACGTCATCTTGTATGTCAAGCCTCGCACAAATCAGTCGGGTTAAACATGTTCTTGACCGTAACCAACTGGTGACAGTAATAAATGCCCTAGTCTTTAGAAAATTACTGTACTGTTCCACAGTGTGGTCGAACACCTCGAACAAAAATATCTGTAGACTACAGTCAGTGCAGAACTTTGCCGCGCGCATTATTACAGGTACCAGCAAATTTGATCATATAACCCCCGCACTAAGAGATCTACGTTGGGTTCCAATTAAACAGCAAAAGCTGTTCTTTCGCGACGCTCTCATGACATTTAAATGCATGACTGGTCAAGCTCCACATTACCTCAGCGATCAATTTACAACAAGAATTGCGGTCACCGGGCGCGTGACTCGAAGTTGCCAATTATTAAACATCCCCTTGTATAAGTCGAGTACCGGACAGAGAACATTCCACTACCGTATGGTGCACATTTGGAACAATCTAGACAGTACTCTTAAAACTGCAAAATCGATTTCTACTTTTAAATTTTATTTGAAAAATAAATTGATTACTGACTTTTTAAATAGCACGTTATGATAGTATTTTAGTATCTTATTTTATTATAATTTTAACTTAAAAATATGCATATTGTATAGTACGTAGTGAGAATATTTATTATTCGATTAACTCTTAAATAGGTATGTTTATATTGCTTTTGTTCACCGCACTCTTTCCTTTTTAATTGAATTGTTAACTACTTCTCTTATCTTAATTAGTAGTCGCATTGTCACTGAAAAGCCCCACCAGGGGAGTGTCAATAAACTATTGTATTGTATTGTATTGTATAGGAGCAACGTGGTCTGCTAGTAGAAGTCCTCTATTGGCTGAAAGAGATTTATGTATTTCTTTAAAAATTTCAGTTGATGACCGCAATTTTGCGAAAGCCCACATTCCATATTTGCGCTTCGATGGAGGTGCAAGAGCAAAGCACTGCTGGCCTGACGAGGCTAAAGACTCCAACGATGGAAAATGCAAAGACTTCAATTCTAAAGCTCCTATCTACTACGATGTTGTTGATTGTGCTGATAAATATCGCAAAGTGAGTTTTCCTGTTCTAGCTTTTATACTACTACATGAGAAATTTCTGCAATTTGATTGGCTTAGAGCAGTGGTATTTCAGCTTAATTTGAAATACCTAGTAGTATAAACAAATAATAGCATGATTTGTACGTGATATTTGGCATAAATACCACTCGTAACATTTCTAAATTGTCTCAAATTTCACTCGCCTAACGGCTCGTGAAATTACGTATAACAATTTCGAAATATCACCCGTGGTATTTATTGCAAATATCACTACAAATCATGCTATTACCTATGCTAATTCTTTTAAAAATAAAAATTAAGACTATTGCTTGCTCGTTTTATTCTTGAGTCCCCAAGAGACCGAGTACAACGATAGAAATAGCTCTTGATTCATGGAAACCCCTGTTTCCATCTTATTATGAACTTATCAATGCTGATGAGCAAATAACTCCACGTTATTAACTATAATAATTATGATTGTTAAATCTTCGCAGTCATTTCTGTCTCCTATAGAACGATCCAATCCGTGCCCGCCATCAAACTTAGTACCACTGACATCATACCATCTTCTTATAATAATGATAATGTCTGAATTTTTTCAGCTTGTCTGGTGGGTTTGGTATGGCAGACAAAACCCTTGCACCGGTTCTTCCGGAGCGCACAACAACGACTGGGAACACATCACCATCAACTTCATCAAGGACGGTTCTGGTGCATGGAAGCAAGACAGCGTGACCTGGTTCCAACACGATGGCTGGTATACAAGACGCAACACTGCTAAGAGTCCCAGTGTTTACGTGGGCAAGAACGCTCACGGAAGCTACGACAACTGGTGTGATGGCAGAGGATTTGTTTGGGAGCAGGTAAGCCGGAAAACCGACGGAAAACCGACGGTGGCTGTTTACAGCGCTCGAAGCGGATACTATCCAAATGTCTCTACATACTTCTTCCTGTTATAAGGAAAACAACTGAATGTGTTATTGTTTTCTCACAATATAATTGAAAACGTTACAAGACCAACTTAACTTTATAATATTGTCATTCAGAAATGATTGAATGATGTGTGCCAAAAAAATTAAGTGAAATGAAATAATTATTCGCCTCGGGTTCAGCAAAATTAATATTGGTCGCCGATATTCACTTCAGTAGTTGCTAATTCGCCTTACAGTAGGGTAGCCAATCAGATCGCGCACTTACTCATATCCAGTCATTGTCTAAAAGTATATGATAACTGAGATTCAGTATGTTAATACTTTTTCATAACATTAAATTGTTTACATTCCTAGGATTATTGCGCTGGAGGATGTGGCTACTGGGATGATTTTCGTAACGACAAAAAGGGAAGACGTTGGACACCAACCAACATCAAGCACGTGTCTGAGGTAACTCATCAAAAAGGGGTCCATTCTGGTATCTTAATCTCTGTTAATACGGTCACCAAAGGAACAAATCAAGAGTTACCATATTATACGGTTATCCCGGCGTACTAGTGAACGACGTACGCGCTAGTTGCCCGTTCGTAACCTTCTGCTCATCAGTTTTCGGTCGGTTTTGTGCGCACACACTCTTCATAATGACGTTATTCGAATGTTTTGATGTGGGAATGATATCAAAAACGCTTCTTCAAACTCTTAAATCTTTTCAAAACGTAAGGAAACCATACTTTTTAATTTCATATAATCAAAACGCACATCAAAATGTATGTTCAGTCAGTTTTCTCAAAAATTTGACATTTATTTTTCTAAACGCGAAAAGCGACATTATTACTGGAGACACGCTCGGTTTTACTTCGCTTCTACCGAATACGTCTAAGTGTGTGTACCATAGAAAACTCACTCTATAAGAAAATATTCCGTCATTAACATTCTAATACTTATAATGATTTCCATAATATATCCTCATGCATCATCACCAACATCATCATAGTCAGTTGTTATCTTATTGTATCATTCTCTCTAGGTTACTGGTAAAGTGGCTAATAGAATCAAAGACGAGAAATATTTTGATGACACCAGGCTCAACAGGTGTATTGGTGCCAATTCTCGCTGTGTGAAGGGACCATGTGGATGCTGGCGAAATAACCACACTTTCCTAGCACCTAAATGTAATGTCTAAGCGACGAAATTAATGAAACAAGGGAAATAAACCATCAGTGAATACTCTGACAAAAATATATAATATATGTATATATGTGTGTTTTTTATATGTAGTTTCCAACCAGTTATTTCATGATTGTTGATGCATACTTCATACATTGGTCAATGCAGTCAAGGAATCATTCACTCCTTCATCCATTGAGGGCGGGTGCCCTCAAGGAAAGTTCTGAACCTTAAGCCCTTGAAAATCCAACTTCTAGTGTTTTGAGAACTGCGAAATCGCGACCTTGTGTTTCAAAACTTCAAAAATGCCAATAAGACTTAAACACGCCGGCTTGCAAACAAGATTTTTATTGTGAAATATAAATGAACTAAATCTAAGAGAATCACCAGAGTCCCATTAATTTTATATCACAATTGTTCCAAATTTTGACTGATTTCCCCTTTTGAAATCTTTCATTCCCGACTGATGCCCCCTCTCATACTCGACAACATCCTCGATTTTGAATTGTAGTTAATGCATTTTAATTGTTGGCATGTTGATGACTCTGGAAAGGTTGCGAAAATCTTTTATCAGAGGTTGCGATTGGAATTCCCCTATCTCACTGAATGCAGACCAAAAGTAACAGAGGTAAACTTTCCAACCGCGTTATTGGCCACAGCCGAAAATTGATTCTAAATAGGGATACAGAGAATGATTCAGAAAATTTGATCCAACCCGTTCCTGTGAGTCACGATATTGCAGGGCTAAGCAGCGAGAGACGCTAACGAATGCATAGCACTCTAGGGTAGGTGAAATTTGTATACGCAATGTTACAATTGTGAGGACCATCGGTAGACAATTTCCATAACATACATTCAGTATACTTTAACATATATTTTCCGCAAACAATCCGCATACCATTTATACCCTCCTTCTAAAATTTTGAAATTAAAAGCTTTGATGGTAGTGAGTCTTATTTGTTGAACTTGTCAAACTTATATGAGGGGAACGAGCTTTTCTTGAAGGAAAGAAGTATTCAAAACGCAACAACCACTCTCACAATTGACGAGTCCATGATGCGGAACCAAAGAGCTACTGTGGCCAACCAGGACAACAAACATCGGTTGGAAGACTTATGTAATGATTTAAACCTTAAGCTTAATACCAGCGGGAATGGAGTTCGAGAAGCATCGGAACGTTCACGAAGTAAGTTTAAGTTTACTTATAAATATGGAAGCGTCAGCCGTGACAGAGAACCGTCGAGATTACAATGTAAGAAAATTCTTAAAATGTTCCACAAGAAATCATGCAGAAAATGCATTGAGTGTTATATTTCGCACAGTATACCACAGTCGTCTGTAATGAAAAACTTTCTACCCAATGATTTCCGAATTTATATTGCAACTAGATTGTGTAGTTTTAGGACTGTTGGAAAAAATACTTGTTCACGATCAGCTTACTGTTGTGGGACTCATGTAATTTATATTGCAACAACAAGAACTAAAAAGCATAAAAATAGAGATGCAGTGCTTTGTGGTAATGATGATTGTGGCTTAAATAAATGTTATGCAATAAAGTGTAATAAGCAACAAGAAAAGTTTTGTGTTCCAAGGGCAAAGATATTCACTTCAGGTGACATTGAATTGAACCCAGGTCCTGTTGATGCTTGTGTGTTGCTACAATCTAGATTAGCCCAACAGGGATTGTCAATCTTAGATGTCGGGGGTACAGGTGACTGTTTTTTAGAGCAGTATCTGATCAACTGTATGGTGAACCTAGTCATCATATGAACATTCGTAGAATTGGTGTTCAATATATGAGAAATTACTCAGAAAGATTCATTGACAGTAACACAGAGGATTCATGGGCAAGATATTTAGCTAATATGTCACAACAGGGTAAGTGGGCCGATGCACTTGTAATACAAGCAGTTGCTGATGCATTGTATTTGACAATCAATATAACAGAATCTAACCAAAGGTTTGGATCACATACTATAATAAGAGTAGCAACTGTATCAGAACATGAACCAATTGTTATAAATATAGGTCACATGGATGAGGTACACTATGTATCAACTGTCCCCTATAATGAAGAGATGGTAGAAACTGACTTAAGCGGTAGCAGACAATAGGGCCATTTATACGAGGAAAAATAAGACGCGTCTTACATAAGACGCATCTTAAATAAGACTTGAACTGTACCATTTATACGAGCATGTCTTATTTAATAAGACGCGTCTTAGCTAAGCCGCGTCTTATTTTAGACGAAATGTGCCGTTTATACGGAAATTTCGCGTCTTATTTAAGACGCGTACGTCTTATGTAAGACGCGTCTTATGTCAGACGCGTCTTATTTTTCCTCGTATAAATGGCCCTAATGTGCAGAAGTAACTAGAAATAATACAATGGGAAATGCTTTAAGAAAAGAAGACAGATGAACTCAAAAGCGAAAATGGATCAGAAAAAAGAGACTAAATAAAGAATCCAGAGATAAAGAGAATAAAGCTCAACAGGCTAAAAGGTCAGCAAAAGTTGAAAAATTAAGAGAGTTAAACAGACAAGCATTTATCAGAAAAACCCTGATAACATAAAAGAATTGAACAAAAATGTACAAAACAGAAAGAGATCTCAGAGTACACAACTTATAACCACAATGTAATAGTGCTGTAGCAAATGACAGCCATGAAATGAAAATGGCAGATGTGATTCAGACTTTTCCCAATAGAATTAAGTGTGGCCCGGAATATATATGTACTTGCTGCGATCAGTTGTGATATCGATCATCGGTGACGAAGTGTGTTGCTAACAGATACACTAAGTGCACTAAAAATCTACTTGATGTATGCATAACTGGTAAAACTAGTGTAGACAATACTGAATGGCTTTGCTCAACCTGTCATTCAAACCTAAGTGATGGGAAGTTGCCATTATGTTCTAAGGCTACCAAAATGGGATTTCCTGTGAAACCAGAATGTCTCAACTTGAGACCTTTAGAGAAATGATTGATATCCCAACGCATACCATTTATGCAAATACGTACTGAATTCCCTAGAGGTGGACAACTATCTATTCATGGCAATGTTGTTAATGTACCAGTTGACGTGAATCCAGTTGTAAACACTTTACCAAGACCTGTAACTGAATGAATCACAAATCATTCCTATCAAATTAAAAATGAAATTAAGTTACAAACACCATTATCAGTTTCAGAATGTTAGACCAAGAAAAGTGTTAGAAGCAGCAAAGTACCTTAATGAAACAAGTGAACTGTTTTAAAATGACCATATATAGAGAGGTCCAGGACAACTCCCGTACGAACCGAGCAGCGATCGTGCAGCGCTGCATGACTTCACTTTTCAGTTCAGTTCAGTTTTCTTTAGCCAAAATAAATTACAATACAATACAATAAGAACTGTAAGTTGGCAAGGGAGCCCAGAAGAAACCAGAAAGCTCATGAAGCCTGGGCTCCCCAGTCACAAAGAAATAAGTAAAGTGAAAATTCGCGGACATAATGCATAAATGCATTAAAAATACATGTAGTAACGAAAAACTAAACAAGGACTAATATAAGTTAAGAATTCAATAACAGGAAAGAAGAAAGTTTTTAACTCTGGATTGGAACGAATATAAGGAGGGGGCATCAAAAATGAAAGCATTCAGCTTATTAAAGAAAACAGGACCTTGATAAAAAACAGAAAACTTTCTTATATTGGTACGGCAGAAAGGAATATAGAATTTATTTGAACTTCGCGTGTTATAACCATGAGCTTGATTAGCACGCAAAATGGATCTGGAAAAACTGGAAGGAGTTTAGTTATTTTTTAAAGAAAACATAAATTTCCCAAGATGCAGAGAATAAATGTCTTCTAACTTAAGAATCATAAGACTCTTAAATAGTAGATTAGTGTGAGCGTCGAAGCCCTTCTTGCTGATAATTCTAACAGTGCGCTTTTGCAACAAGACTAGGCGCCTAAGGTTGGTAGGGCATGTCGAACCCCACACTTAAATGCAATATTGAAGATAAGAATAAACAAGTGAATAGTATAAAGTACACAAAGCTTTCCTAGTAAGGTAAAAACTAGATTTAAGAATAACGCCCACAGACTTGGAGACTTTGCTCGCAACCTGAGAAATATGGGGTTTCCATGACAGTGTCTCATCTAGAATAACACCAAGAAAATTAACTTCCTTAACTTGGTTCATCTTAAAACCATCCATCTCAATACTTAGGTTGAGTTCATCTCTTCTCTGTCTAGGTTTAAAAATTATGTAATTGGACTTTTGTATATTAAAGAGATAGCTTGTTGGCTTTGAACCAATCAAGTCCATTAATGTAAAGTAAAGTTAAACTTTATTTACACAGAGTAGCCCATTCATTCTGGTCTCCATAGGGGCCCTGTATCTTAAAAAATTAAATTACATCAAGAATTTTCATGAACTATCACATTTAAAAAGCCTAATAAAAATACAATACTAGAATTTAAGAACTACATTAAAAAGCCTAAAAATACAATGTAAAATCACATTTAAAGCCTAAAAAGTTATAAAAAAATGCCAAAGTTATGATAAAAAGAAAGGTCTTGTTCGGTGGCAGAACGTTTGAATGTTTTCACTCTTCACAATGTTCAAAGGGAGTTTGTAAAAAATTTTTGCTCCAGTAAAAAGAAAGGTCCTTTTCCCAAAATTTTGTTTAACGTTTGGTAGGGATAGCCTCATACTTAGCCTCCCACGCAGGCGTTTTTAGGGGAGCTCGTATTTCTTCCCTCCCCACAAACGCCTGCTCAACAGAGGACAACATTCCTTTCCCATTGTTGCATTCGCGTGGTAAGTGACTTATCAACGGTTTTTAAATAAAGTGTTGACAGGCTAAACATGACTCATAAGCTCGTGATATGAAAAAACGTGACCCAGAACGTGATCCTAGAGTTACCTTTTTCCTTCTTTTCTTTCGTTCGCTAAGGTTATGCAGTGCACAGAGAATTCTAAAATCTGACTGAGTAAATCTTACTTTTGCAGCTCTGAGACTAACATTTATTAGAGGTCATGAAGGTTTCTTAAAGTTTCATGCAGATCGCGTGATTATCGGGCTACCCTACGGTCAAGGTCAACTTTCCAGAATTTGGAAAGTACAACGTGATTGGCTAAGCGTGGGAAAGGAATGTTGTCCTCTGTTGAGCAGGCGTTTGTGGGGAGGGAAGAAATACGAGCTCCCCTAAAAACGCCTGCGTGGGAGGCTACCTCATACTTTGCCTTGTGGAATAATTGTGAATGTTCGAAAATCTATTCCAAAACTTATTAATAATTCATAAGTTTGATAGCCAATAAAAATGGCTAAATTCGTCACGTGCATGAGTTTTGATACCCAATGAAAACACAGATGAAAACCACTCGTGTTTTGGATCACATATCAAAACCACGCGTGGTTTTCATCTGTCTTCTCATTGGACATCAAGATTAATGGATCAAAACAAAACAAACAGAACACAAGAACAAGACTTCAGTTTAATTAATCATCATAATTAATCAGCTACATAGCCAGTTCATTTTTTTTCGTTGACCACGCAAGCCAAACATTTAAACATTATAGAAATAAATAGTATCTAATAATTACTTAGCTATTCCACTGCCAAATAATCCTGCACTCCAGAACTTTTCTTCTTCCTCTTCTGTAACAGCTTGCTTCTCTCCTTTCTTTGTTTGCAAACTCACACCTGCCGCGTGCTATCCTTCATCTCGGCATCAAGACAAGGACGGAAAATAGCAAATCTGCAATAAAATGTAGGAAGATTAAAAAAAGGTCGATCTATATTCTAATTGTAGTCTTCGATGAAAATAGTATCTTCCATTGAAGATAATAATTACTATATCCTCTCTTACCTTTTATCCGAAGCGTTTAAACGATTTAATGCTTCGCTGCCCACAGTTTCTTCTAAATGCCTTCAGATGCCACAGATAAATTCATAAAGGGTCCTTGCTAGATACACCTTCTCTTCACTATTCGCAACCTCCTGGACAAATTTACTCAGCCAGTAGTTTAAGTGTTGGCATCCATATTTGCCAAATCTGTACTCAGCGACTAAAATTTGTACAAATCTCCGTAATCTTAAAAAGCGCCACCAGCATCAAGTAAAGGAACTTTGTACTTTTCTATTTATCTGCCATTCGAGAAAAATTTTAATAGCCTATTTGGTTTCAGCAACTTTGATTCTTCTCCCCAGGTTTTTGGAGAACGAAAACGGCTTTCGGTTTAGCCCTGTGGTAAGAGCGTTTGCTGGAAAGAGTCGGCCAGTGCAGCTGCTCTATTGCTTCAGATGAGCGAGAGCAACGTGTGATAATCCGTGCAGATCTATTCTGTAGGCGCTGTAGTCGATCTATATCTTGCTGTAGAAGGTTACTCCAGGCAATGTCACAGTAATCAAATAACGGCAGAATTAACGCGTTGTGAACAAGTGTTGCTGCCTCTTTTGTGACGAAACTTCTAACGACTCACGACACTTACCTACACTCTCTAATAATGTATTCGATTCTATTCTTGTTATCGTGTCTGCAGCCCAAATCCCTTGGAATTTCAAGCATATCGATTGTTTCCATATCCACGTGAAATGATAAATTATTTTTCAATCAAAGATTCATCAATTTATAAGAAAAAAATGTAAGTACATTTCTTTATTTTTGGCTGTCTTTTTCCTTATTTTTCACATCAAGAAAAACAGCACAAAGAAAACAGGTACAGGAATTTGTCATGATTTGACGTCTTTGCCTCATTAAACATTCCACCCCAGTTCAGCCCTTCAAATCTCTAGCAGGTGAAGTAAGGTGAATCCCACTGGTCAAATGTCAACCAATCACGTTACGTTTTTTTGGAGTTTTTAAAATATACATTTAGCAGATCGCATAAAAGCTCAACATCTGCAAGTAGGTCATAGTACCCGAGTAACAGAAGGAGCAGTAAGAAGATAGCCAGAAATTTGAAGGAAACGTAAGTTTGCTAAAAAGTGAACATTGTGAGTAAAAAAGCTCATAATTCATTTTTTTCTGTTACTTTTTGATTTAGTAGTTTATCCTTTTTAAGAATAGTAACATGATGATTTACTTTATGCTTCTCAGTTCCACATCATCTAAGGGCATTTTCTGCTCCTGTACCTGTTCGCGGAGCTTTCTACCGGCTTGGTTATTCTTTTTCACGAACATAACCACAGCTAGCCTGCGAACCGCAGACGTATTTCCGGTCGTCGCTTCTTTCCCTCCGAAAAATAACGTCTGCGAACATGAGCGACAAAACGATTTCCCTGACGTAAAACCTTTTGTTTTGATGTTCACCAATCAGATCAAAGGTCATAGAATGTAGCTCGAGTGACTCATCGCGACCTCGCGCGCTGGCGTGTCTTGGATTTTGGCGAGATTTACCAAATACGATTTGGAACCTGAATTTCACAACTATAACGAAGTTTCCTGCGACGTTGAATGCTGACTTCTTTGTGAAGCAACGGCTTCCTAAGTTATGTATGTGATGTGGGTCTTTGTTTTCCCTCTAAAAAATACGGTAGTTCTTGACATAACAAAATGTGGACAAACTAATCCCAACACTGAAAGGAAAATACCATCATTAGCTTAATTACATTTCGCTCAGACCCGCGATTCATTTCAATTTAACCAGCGCTGACAAAAGGTGGTGAATCGATTGTACAGACACATGCTTGACTGATTCAGAAATCTCTGACAATCGCTCGTAAATAATTCAAATTCCTACAAGTATCGCCACAAAACAATGATCTGAAACATTCAGTAAACCTGTGGGACCAAGATGACATTGACCTACGAAGCCTCGACTTATCTTATAAAAAACTATGGAAATTAAAACCTTGAAAAGAACATATATTTAAAGAAATATAAGAACAAATATAAAATGCTTTCAATCTGATCAAAGTTCTGTCTGAGCCAAGAAGCAACCACGGATGTCCTAGCTTTCAAAGATAAAGGATACTAAAAAATATCTAAAGCGGCACACGACATACTATCGAAGAATTCTCCAAGCATACTTTTTTCCTGCGAGGAACCAGAAAGGAACAGAAGCAACAAACGTCATGATGCGTCTACTGTCATTAGGACATTTATCGTTTCGAATATGATCAAAACAACAAGGTGTGATAAATCATTGACTCCGTAGGCCAATAGATAAAAAATTTCCCCTAATCTTTTCTTCAATATTAATCCTCTTGGTGCTTATTTCGTCAATCAGTCCCACGATCCGTAAACGCGTAGTTCTGAGAAAAAAATTCATCTGTGTTTCCCAGGCTAGAAAAAGAGCAGCTGTACACAAGCTGTAGCCTGCGAGAGCATCCGGTTTTTTCGGCTCCAGTTTGATGGTTCCACATAAGAATACACAATAGACAAAGCCTGAAATACTACAGACTTTCCCAAACCAGTTGGAAGATTCACAAAAACATCGCAAGGCTTCCTTTTGATGCTTGTTGAGTCTTTCTAACCAGAAAACTTCCTATTCTTTCCTCAACGCACCTTCCGCCATACTTTCCCACGCGTTGGCACAAGATCCAGGCTAAACCACAGCCTACAAATAATCGTTTATACAACATTTCTGTTTTTAGTGAAAAGGCATTGACTTAATTGTACTGATTGATGTTTGTACAAATATACAATTACACATATATTGTTTTTTTCCAACAAGATTTTTTTTTACGGTTCTTTTTTTTATTAAAATGTGAGTTTATTTTGCAATATGAGTTCCTTGACTCCCTGAATAAGAGCTTTTGGCATAAAAATAACTAGCATCAAAGCCTTGTTTTTGTAAATTCATATTTTCTTGCTCAAGGAAATGGCATTGTCGGGTGTTATCCTAATACTGATGCCTGCTGTGTTTATGGGCGCTCATGCAGGTAAGAATGGCTTTAGAATTCATTTATTTATATTTTACTATGAAATTACCGTTTATATAAGATTTCAGTTTGAATAAAATCATAATGATCAATACACTGCAAGCAACCAACTTAACCAACCAGCCACAAAACCAACTGACCCAACCAACCACCCATGAAACAAGCAAACAAATAAACAAACGAACAAACTGACCAACACAACAGTCAACAAACCAGCCGACTAACCAACCAACCAAACGAATCTTAAGAAAATAGAATTTTTTCTGTATTGAGTCTCATAAGCTAAAACGTCGAACAAGTACTGTCTAGAATCAAGGCTGCAGTCTTTACATTTTGACGCCCTACTTGATTTAGGGAAGATATGAGCCACGTGGTCTGCTAGTAGAAGTCCTCTATCGGCTGAAAGAGATAAAAGTATTTCTTTAAAAATTTCAGTTGATGACCGAAATTTTGCGAGAGCCCACATTCCATATTTGCGCTTCGATGGAGGTGCAAGAGCAAAGCACTGCTGGCCTGACGAGGCTAAAGACTCCAACGATGGAAAATGCAAAGACTTCAATCCTAACGCTCCTATCTACTACGATGTTGTTGATTGTGCTGATAAATATCGCAAAGTGAGTTTTCCTGTTCTAGCCTTAATTCTTTTAAGAATAAAAATTAAGACTATTGCTCGCTCGTTTTATTCTTGAGTCCCCAAGAGACCGAGTACAACGATAGAAATAGCTCTTGATTCATGGAAACCCCTGTTTCCATCTTATTATGAACTTATCAATGCTGATGAGCAAATAACTCCACGTTATTAACTATTATAATTATGATTGTTAACTCTTTCAAGTCTAGTTAGCACTCATTTCTGTCTCCTATAGAAGGCTCCAATCCGTGCCCGCGGTCAAACTTAGTACCACTGACAAATACCATCTTCTTATAATAATGATAATGTCCGAATTTTTTCAGCTTGTCTGGTGGTTTTGGTATGGCAGACAAAACCCTTGCACCGGTTCTTTCGGAGCGCACAACAACGACTGGGAACACATCACCATCAACTTCATCAAGGACGGTTCTGGTGCATGGAAGCAAGACAGCGTGACCTGGTTCCAACACGATGGCTGGTATACAAGACGCAACACTGCTAAGAGTCCCAGTGTTTACGTGGGCAAGAACGCTCACGGAAGCTACGACAACTGGTGTGATGGCAGAGGATTTGTTTGGGAGCAGGTAAGCCGGAAAATCGACTGAAAACCGACGGTGGCTGTTTACAGCGCTCGAGGCGGATACGATCCAAATGTCTCTACATACTTCTTCCTGTTATAAGGAAAACAACTGAATATGTGTTATTGTTTTCTCGCAATATAATTGAAAACATTACAAGACCAACTTAACTTTATAATGTTGTCACTAAGAAATGATTGAATGATATGTCCCAAAAAAAATAAGTGAAATGAAACAATTATTCGCCTCGGGCTCAGCAAATATTGGTCGCCGATATTCACTTCAGTAGTTGCTAATTAATTCGCCTTACAGTAGGGTGACCAATAAGATCGCGCTCTTACTCATATCCAGTCATTGTCTAAAAGTATATGGTAAATGAGATTCAGTATGTTAATACTTTTTCATAACATTGTTTACATTCCTAGGATTATTGCGCTGGAGGGTGTGGCTACTGGGATGATTTCCGTAACGACAGAAAGGGAAGACGTTGGACACCAACCAACATCAAGCACGTGTCTGAGGTAACTCATCAAAAAGGGGTCCATTCTGGTGATACATGGTATCTTAATCTCTGTAATACGGTCACCAAAGGAACAAATCAAGACTCACCATATTATAAGGTTATCCCGGCGTACTAGTCAACGACGTACGCGCTAGTTGCCCGTTCGTAACCTTCTGCTCATCGGTTTTCGGTCGGTTTTGTGCGCGCACACTCTTCATAATGACGTCATTCGAATGTTTTGATGTGAGAATGATATCAAAAACGCTTCTTCAAAGTCTTAAATCTTTTCAAAACGTAAGGAAACCACACTTTTTATTTTATATAATCAAAACGCACATCAAAATGTATGTTCAGTCAGTTTTCTCAAAAATTTGACATTTATTTTTCTAAACGCGAAAAGCGACATTATTACTGGAGACACGCTTGGTTTTACTTCACTTCTACTGAATACGTCTAAGTGTGTGTACCATAGAAAACTCACTCTATAAGAAAATATTCCGGCATTAACATTCTAATACTTATAATGATTTCCATAATATATCCTCATGCATCATCATCAACATCATCATAGTCAGTTGTTATCTTATTATATCATTCTCTCTAGGTTACTGGTAGGATCAATAGAATCAAAAACGAGAAATATTTTGCAGACACCAGGCGCAACAAGTGTATTGGTGCCAATTCGCGCTGTGTGAAGGGACCATGTGGATGCTGGCGAAATAACCACACTTTCCCAGCCCCTAAATGTGATGTCTAAGAGACGAAATTAATGAAACAAGGGAAATAAACCATCAGTGAATACTCTGGCAAAAATATATAATATATGTATGTGTGTGTTTTTTTATATGTAGTTTTCAACCAGTTATTTCATGATTATTGATGCATACGTCATACATTGGTCAATGCAGTCAAGGAATCATTCACTCCTGCATCCATTGAGGGCGAATGCCCTCAAGGAAAGTTCTGAACTTTAGACCCTCGAAAATCCAACTTCTAGTGTTTTTGGGACTGCGAAATCGCAACCTTGTGTTTCAAAACTTCAAAAATGCCAATAAGACTTCAAACACGCCGGCTTGCAAAATTTTTGTTGTAAAATATAAATGAACTAAATCTAAGAGAATCACCAGAGTGCCATTAATTTTATATCACAATTGTTCCAAATTTTGAGTGATGTCCGCTTTTTAAATCCGACTGATGCCCCCTCTCGTACTCGACAACATCCTGGATTTTGAATTGTAGTTGATGCATTTTGATAGTTGGCATGTTGATGACTCTGGAAAGGTTGCGAAAATCTTTTGTCAGAGGTTGCGATTGGAATTCCTCTATCTCGCTGAATGCAGACTAAAAGTAACAAAGGTAAACTTTTCAACCGCGTTATTGGCCACAGCCGAATATTGATTTTAAATATGGATACAGAAAATGATTCAGAAAATTCCTGTCAGTCAAGCACGATACTGTAGGGCCAAGCAGCGAGAGACGCTAACGAATGCATAACACTCTAGGGTAGGTGAAAATTGTATACGCGATGTCACAATTCTGTATACCTTCGGCAGACAATTTTCATAACATACATTCAGTATACTTTTACATATATTTTCCGCAAACAATCCACATACCATTTATACCATCCTTCTAAACTTTTGAAATTAAGCGAAAATGAAAAGAGCGATGTTTTTGACACGACAAAAATTTAATTTTTTTTTTGTAATTTTGTAATACTTGCACATTCATTTAAGACAATGTCTTTAGAATAAAGTATTATTAATAGAAAGTTTCTGGCCTTTCTGATATATTTTAAATCAATATGTCTACAAAAAAGTACAAATACAACAAATTTTTAACGAATTTTTCCTGCAATTGTTCGACCATACGCATAGTTTGCATTTGGTTTCAGATTCACAACGCCAATCGTTTTCCCTGGAAATAACCCCAACCCTAAACCTAGGGTTAAGCTTAGGGTTAGGGCTAGGGTTAGCTTGAAGTCACTTCCAGGATAAAACTTTTTTCATCTAGCAAAAGTTTTAAAGATTTTTCCCAGGACGTCTACGACAATACTCATGTTTTGCATTTGGTTTCAGATTCTCAACGCTTATCGTTTTCGCAGGAGTTATTTATTTTGGAAGTGACGCCAAGCTAACCCTAAACCTAATCCTAAGCTTAACCCTAGGGTTAGGTTTGTGGTTAAAACCTGCCAAAACAATAAGCGTGGACAATCTGAAACCAAATGCAAAAGATTAGTATCGTCGTAGACGTTCAGGGAAAAATCTTTAAAACTTCCGTAGACGAAGAAATACTTATCCTGGAAGTGACCCCAAGCTAACCCCAACCCTTAACCAAAGCTTAACCCTAAGCTTAACCCTAGGATTAGGGTTGGGGTTAACTCTTCAAAAAACAATAAGGGTTGAGAATCTGAAACCAAATGCAAAACATGGGATTGGTCGAAGCTGAGCAGGAAAAAGTCTTTTAAACTTTTGTAGATATAAAATTTTTTATCCTGGAAGTGACTCCAAGCTAGCCCTAACCGTAACCCTAAGATTAACCCTAGGGTTAGGGTTGGGGTTAACTCCTGGGCAAACGATAAGCGTTAACAATCTGAAACCAAATGCAAAAGATTAGTATCGTCGTAGACGTTCAGGGAAAAATCTTTAACACTTGGGTAGACGAAAAAATATTTATTCTGCAAGTGATCTAAGCTAACCCTAAGCTTAACCCTAGGGTTAGTTTTGGGGTTAACTCCGGGGAAAACGATAAGCGTTGAAGATCAGGTTGGGGTCACTTCCACGATAATATTGTTTTCTTCTACACAAGTTTTAAAGATTTTTCCCTGAACGTTCGGGTTAGGGTTAGGGTTAGAGTTAGCTTGGGGTCACTTCCAGAAAAAATATTTTTTCGTCTGCCCCAGTTTTAAAGATTTTTTCCTGAACGTCTACGACGACACTAATCTTTTGCATTTGGTTTCAGATTCTCCACGCTTATCGTTATCCCAGGAGTTAACCCCAACCCTAACCCTAGGGTTAAGCTTAGGGTTAGTGTTAGGGTTAGCTTGGGGTCGCTTCCAGGATAACTACTTTTTCCTGTACGGAACTTTTAAAGTCTTTTCCCGGAACGTCTACGACGATACTAATCTTTTGCATTTGGATTCAGATTCTCAACGCTTATCGTTTTCCCAGGAGTTAACCCCAACCCAAACAGTAGGGTTAAGCTTAGGGTTAGGGTCGGGTTAGCTTGGGGTCACTTTTAGGATAAAAAATTTTTCCTCTACCCAAGTTTTAAAGACTATTCTCTGAACGTCTACGACGATACTAATCTTTTCCATTTGGTTTCAGATTCTCAACGCTTATCGTTTTCCCAGGAGTCAACCCCAACCCTAACCCTAGGGTTAAGCTTACGGTTACGGTTAGGGTTAGCTCGGGGTCACTTTTAGGATAAAAAATTTTTTGTCTACACAAGTTTTAAAGACTTTTCCCTGAACGTCTACGACGACACTAATCTTTTGCATTTGGTTTCAGATTCTCAACGCTTATCGTTTTCCCAGGAGTTAACCCCAACCCTAACCCTAGGGTTAAGCTTAGGGTTAGTGTTAGGGTTAGCTTGGGGTCCCTTCCAGGATAACCATTTTTTCCTGTACGGAACTTTTAAAGTCTTTTCCCGGAACGTCTACGACGATACTAATCTTTTGCATTTGGTTTCAGATTCTCAACGCTTACCGTTTTCCTTGGAGTTAACCCCAACCCTAACCCTAGGGTTAAGCTTAGGGTTAGGGTTAGGGTTACCTTAGGGTCACATTTAGGATAAAAAATTTTTCGTCTACACAAGTTTAAAAGACTTTTCCCTGAACGTCTACGACGATACTAATCTTTTGCATTTGGTTTCAGATTCTCAACGCTTATCGTTTTTCCAGGAGTTAACCCCAACCCTAACCCTAGGGTTAAGCTTAAGGTTAGGGTTGGGGTTAGCTTGGGGTCACTTTTAGGATAAAAAATTTTTTCTCTACACAAGTTTTAAACACTTTTCCCTGAACGTCTACGACGATACTAATCTTTTCCATTTGGTTTCACATTCTCAACACTTATCGTTTTCCCAGGAGTTAACCCCAACCCTAACCCTAGGGTTAAGCTTAGGGTTAGGGTTAGGGTAAGCCTGGGGTCACTTTTAGGATAAACAATTTTTTCCTCTACACAAGTTTTAAAGACTTTTCCCTGAACGTCTACGACGATACTAATCTTTTGCATTTGGTTTCAGATTCTCAACGCTTACCGTTTTCCCAGGAGTTAACCCCAACCCTAACCCTAGGGCTAAGCTTAGGGTTTGGGTTAGGGTTAGCTTAGGGTCACTTTTAGGAAATAAAAATTTTTTCGTCTACACAAGTTTTAAAGATTATTCCCTGAACGTCTACGACGATACTAATCTTTTGGATTCGGTTTCAGATGCTCAACGCTTACCGTTTTCCCAGGAGTTAACCTCAACCCTAACCCTAGGGTTAAGCTTAGGGTTAGGGTTAGGGTTAGCTTGGGGTCACTTTTACGATAAAAAATTTTTCGTCTACACAAGTTTTAAAGACTTTTCCCTGAACGTCTACGACGATACTAATCTTTTCCATTTGGTTTCAGATTCTCAACACTTATCGTTTTCCCAGGAGTTAACCCCAACCCTAACCCTAGGGTTAAGCTTAGGGTTAGGGTTGGGGTTAGCTTGGGGTCACTTTTAGGATAAAAAGTTTTTTGGTTACACAAGTTTTAAAGACTTTTCCCTGAACGTCTACGACGACACTAATCTTTTGCATTTGATTTCAGATTCTCAACGCTTATCGTTTTCCCAGGAGTTAACCCCAACCCTAACCCTAGGGTTAAGCTTAGGGTTAGTGTTAGGGTTAGCTTGGGGTCGCTTTTAGGATAAAAAGTTTTTTCCTGTACGGAACTTTTAAAGTCTTTTCCCGGAACCTCTACGACGATACTAATCTTTTGCATTTGGTTTCAGATTCTCAACGCTTATCGTTTTCCCAGGAGTTAACCCCAACCCTAACCCTAGGGTTAAGCTTACGGTTACGGTTAGGGTTAGCTCGGGGTCACTTTTAGGATAAAAAATTTTTTGTCTACACAAGTTTTAAAGACTTTTCCCTGAACGTCTACGACGACACTAATCTTTTGCATTTGGTTTCAGATTCTCAACGCTTATCGTTTTCCCAGGAGTTAACCCCAACCCTAACCCTAGGGTTAAGCTTAGGGTTAGTGTTAGGGTTAGCTTGGGGTCCCTTCCAGGATAACCATTTTTTCCTGTACGGAACTTTTAAAGATTTTTCCCTGAACGTCTACGACGATACTAATCTTTTGCATTTGGTTTCACATTCTCAACGCTTATCCTTTTCCTAGGAGTTAACCCCAACCTTAACCCTAGGGTTAAGCTTAGGGTTAGGGTTAGGGTTAGCTTGGGGTCACTTTTAGGATAAAAAATTTTTCGTCTACTCAAGTTTTAAAGACTTTTCCCTGAACGTCTACGACGATACTAATCTTTTGCATTTGGTTTCACATTCTCAACGCTTATCGTTTTCCCAGGAGTTAACCCCAACCCTAACCCTAGGGTTAAGCTTAGGGTTAGGGTTAGGGTTAGCTTGGGGTCACTTTTAGGATAAAAAATTTTTCGTCTACACAAGTTTTAAAGACTTTTCCCTGAACGTCTACGACGATACTAATCTTTTGCATTTGGTTTCAGATTCTCAACGCTTACCGTTTTCCCAGGAGTTAACCCCAACCCTAACCCTAGGGCTAAGCTTAGGGTTTGGGTTAGGGTTAGCTTAGGGTCACTTTTAGGAAATAAAAATTTTTTCGTCTACACAAGTTTTAAAGATTATTCCCTGAACGTCTACGACGATACTAATCTTTTGGGTTCGGTTTCAGATGCTCAACGCTTACCGTTTTCCCAGGAGTTAACCTCAACCCTAACCCTAGGGTTAAGCTTAGGGTTAGGGTTAGCTTGGGGTCGCTTCCAGGATAACTATTTTTTCCTGTACGGAACTTTTAAAGTCTTTTCCCGGAACGTCTACGACGATACTAATCTTTTGCATTTGGTTTCAGATTCTCAACGCTTACCGTTTTCCCAGGAGTTAACCCCAACCCTAACCCTAAGGATAAGCTTAGGGTTAGGGTTAGGGTTAGCTTAGGGTCACTTCTAGGATAAAAAATTTTTCGTCTACACAAGGTTTAAAGACTTTTCCCTGAACGTCTACGACGATACTAATCTTTTGCATTTGGTTTCAGATTCTCAACGCTTATCGTTTTCCGAGGAGTTAACCCCAACCCTAACCCTAGGGTTAAGCTTAGGGTTAGGGTTAGCGTTAGCCTGGGGTCACTTTTAGGTTAAAAAATGTTTTCCTCTACACAAGTTTTAAAGACTTTTCCCTGAACGTCTACGACGATACTAATCTTTTGCATTTTGTTTCAGATTCTCAACGCTTATCGTTTTCCCAGGAGTTAACCCCAACCCTAACCCTAGGGCTAAGCTTAGGGTTTGGGTTAGGGTTAGCTTAGGGTCACTTTTAGGAAATATAAATTTTTTCGTCTACACAAGTTTTAAAGATTATTCCCTGAACGTCTACGACGATACTAATCTTTTGCATTCGGTTTCAGATTCTCAACGCTTACCGTTTTCCCAGGAGTTAACCCCAACCCTAACCCTAGGGTTAAGCTTAACCCTAGGGTTAGTTTTGGGGTTAACTCCGGGGAAAACGATAAGCGTTGAAGATCAGGTTGGGGTCACTTCCACGATAATATTGTTTTCTTCTACACAAGTTTTAAAGATTTTTCCCTGAACGTTCGGGTTAGGGTTAGGGTTAGAGTTAGCTTGGGGTCACTTCCAGAAAAAATATTTTTTCGTCTGCCCCAGTTTTAAAGATTTTTTCCTGAACGTCTACGACGACACTAATCTTTTGCATTTGGTTTCAGATTCTCCACGCTTATCGTTATCCCAGGAGTTAACCCCAACCCTAACCCTAGGGTTAAGCTTAGGGTTAGTGTTAGGGTTAGCTTGGGGTCGCTTCCAGGATAACTACTTTTTCCTGTACGGAACTTTTAAAGTCTTTTCCCGGAACGTCAACGACGATACTAATCTTTTGCATTTGGTTTCAGATTCTCAACGCTTATCGTTTTCCCAGGAGTTAACCCCAACCCTAACCCTAGGGTTAAGCTTAGGGTTAGGGTTAGGGTTAGCTTGGGGTCACTTTTAGGATAAAAAATTTTTCGTCTACACAAATTTTAAAGACTTTTCCCTGAACGTCTACGACGATACTAATCTTTTGCATTTGGTTTCAGATTCTCAACGCTTATCGTTTTCCCAGGAGTTAACCCCAACCCTAACCCTAGGGTTAAGCTTAGGGTTAGGGTTAGGGTTAGCTTGGGGTCGCTTCCAGGATAACTATTTTTTCCTGTACGGAACTTTTAAAGTCTTTTCCCTGAACGTCTACGACGATACTAATATTTTGCATTTGGTTTCAGATTCTCAACGCTTATCTTTTTCCCAGGAGTTAACCCCAGCCCTAACCCTAGGGTTAAGCTTAGGCTTATGGTTAGGGTTAGCTTGAGATCACTTCCACGTCAAAAAATTTTTCATCCTCACAAGTTTTAAGATTTTTCTCTAGAAGTCTTTGACGATACTCATCTATTGCTTTTGGTTTTAGATTCCCAACGCTTATCGTTTTCTTAGGAGTTAACCCCATACCTAACCCTAACCCTTAGCCTAGCCATTGGGTTAGGGTTGGGGTTAACTCAGGTTAAAATTATTAGCGTTGAGAATCTGAAACCAAATGCAAAAGATGCGTACTTCCAGGACGTCTAGGAAAAATTCTTTTAAACTTGTTAGGATAAAAAATTTTCGATCCTGGAAGTAAAACTACGCAAACTCTAAGTCTAACCCTAACCCCAGGGCGAAGGTTATGGTTCGGGTAACTCTTGGGAGAGATTGACGTTCAGAATCAGACAGCAAATGCTAAAGATGTGTATCGTCGAAGACTTCTAGAGGAAAATCATTAAACCCCGTCAGGATAAAAATTTTCGATCTTTGAAGTAAAACTAAGCTAACCCTAACCAAACCCTAGGGTTAGGATTAGGGTAAAACTAAGCTAACCCTATCCTTAGGGTTTGGTTATGGTTAGGGTTAGCTTAGTTTTACTTCCAGGATGAAATCCTTTTTAATCTAACTCGTTTTAAAGATTTTTCCACACTAATCTTTGACGACAGTGCATTTTTTGTATTTGGTTTCAGTTTCTCAGCGCCAATTGTTTTTCCTGGAATTAACCCCTACCCTAACCCTAGGGCTAGGGGTAGGGGTACCTTAGGCTTACTCTCAGGGTCGAAAATTTTTTATCCTAGCAATTTTTAGAGATTTTTCCCTAGACGTGTTCGACGTTACGCATCTTTTTCGTTTGGTTTCAGATTCTTAACGCTAATTGTTGTCCCTGGAACCAACTCTGTTCCCTCTCAGTCAATAAGTACATAGAGTATTTTTCAACGGACTTTGAAATAGCTACTAACCTAATAGATGCTAGTACACCCAAGATCTAATGTTTTCTTTTGTTAACATATAGCTATTACACAATATGACCCGTATATGGCGTCCACAAGGGGATTTGAACCCGGGCCACATTGGTGGGAGGTGAGTGCTCTCACCACTGCGTTATCCTTGCTCCCGCTGTCGGTTAACGCGTAAACCGACGTAAAATAAGGACCAGCGATGCCGGTGCCGTGGGAAGTCCTTGCCGACTCTGAAGCAAACTTGGTCAGTGGTATTTGAGGGATCAACCCTCCTCCTCGGTCTGTTGATTTGGTTAAGGTTTCCAATTGAGGAGAACACTTTTTAGACCGGTGTAGTAATTACACACACACGGCAGTTCATCGCATCATGATAAAAATGGAAGGTAATTCACTATTTAAAGTAAGACTGAATTAAAACAAATTCTGGAAATAATATGCTCTCTGTATTTTTCAGGACCCTGTGAAGTGATAGGGTGAAAATTCATATTATCAGCACTTTTTATTTTCGACTGAGCACAATTTTCTCCTGTATGCGTACGATGATATCCTAGTTCAATCGGCTGGACCTTGACTGCCAAAATTTCACTGCAAGACATAAATAAAATCATTATCTGTGTAGCTTTAGTCAGTTAAAAAATTAAGCCAAGCATTTAAAAATTCACGACGCGGAAGCTGCTGCTGGTTAGCTGTTGTGGAGTGGGTATCAGTGTTTAAAATGATCAAAAACCTGTCAGCGGAGTTAAGCAAGTTTAGCTACGATAGGGAATAGGGAATATATCACATATATTATGACTAAAGGCTTTGTTACCAATGATAGCACCGACCGTTAAAAATGGCAAAGACTGTTTAAAAAAGGGAAATAGGCCGCACCGAACAAGTCGATTAAGCTGAGGCCTGGGTACGATAAAGCGGACTCCAAGATAGCTCACCTCAAAGTTGACCTGAAGTACAATCGGGTCAATAAAGGTTGCTGGGAAACTGCTCATCTACCCCTCCCCTAAGCATTAACACATTACATCAACACTTACTTCTCACTTTGGGCAAAATGATGGCTTAGGGGAGGGGTAGGTGGACAGTTGACCAGAAACCTAATTGATCCACTTTCTCTTCTAAATAAGGTATAACTATCCTAAGTATCGTCTAAGCTGCCTTTAAGTCAAAACCTATAAGATGTCCTAGCCTTGCATAGCTTCCCGAATCCGATCGCTGATTGTGAGGCGTTTCTTTGGCTTACATCTTCCAACCTCTTTTCGTACACTGAAAATCAGGCTCCAGTTCAGTTAAACGTTGGAGGGCTCTATCCACCTGATAAATAATATCCAGCAGATAAATATCAGGGGAGCCAATTGCGTTGTCCACTTGATAGATATTTATTCAATGGATGGCGTCATCCACCAATTGAACTGGACTACGAGAAAGCTGCTTCGTCCCCAGTCTCTCGCTATCACTTTTTTCGGGGACATTTGAGTTAAAGAAAGCTCTGGGCTCGTCCCCGTCATGCCTCTCTCGCACTTCTCGCTTATCTGCTTGAGCGGAAAATTATTACTTTTAGAAACTAGCGTTTGAGAGAAAGGTAGAAAACAACAGCAACATACCTCAAAGAGAATGACTGATCGAATGCTACAGTAAAAAAAGAAAAGGAAGTTGTCAGCGAACTAATAAACATAATTTTTATCTTCATTTGGGTTTGACGTCTTTAAAGGAACACATCCTCGTCAACAACGCCCATTAAGTGGGAAAGATGTTTCTCACTCAGTGAAACAGGCGGCTCCGAAGAAAAAATCCCAGTGCTGCGAATAGGACTGTCAATGACTGAAAAACATCTTCCTCAAGTATTTACCATACTTAAAATTCACTGTCAGTTAAGTTATCACGATCAACATTCTAGGAGTTTATACCAAAACATAAGATACTGGTAAACAGATGATTTTGCATACCTTTCCCCAGCACGCATGACATCAAATGCTTTATTTATTTCACCTAGAGACATTCTGTGGGTAATGAGTTTATCCAGATTCAAACGTCCAGCCAGGTATTCCTCGCATAATCTAGGAAACAGTTCCTTGGCTACAGACCCTAAAAATATATGCATCTCATTTGTTCTTCGGAAATGAATTAGGCAACGAGGTCGGTGAAAAGTGATGTAAATAAAAGCAATCCACAAGGATCAAGATAAGCACGTAGTCGGATCAGTGTTGTTCCTCGGAAAAAAAATCTGTTCTCAAACTTATTTAGAGCACTGCTCGCTAATACAGACGGGGGCCATGGGTTCGAATCCCGTTCCGAAATTTTTACGGGTAAATTTGCAATTGCTTACTGAACTACAATACCACTGCGACGATCATATCTTAATGAAATTTGTATTTCCGTAGTTCACATTATCTTCATTCTATGTTTCATTCCTTTCACGAGTTAGGATGAACTCAACAAATTGGCCTGCTCCTAATCATGGGTCTTCATAGCTCAGTTGGTAGTGCACTGCAGCACTAAAGCAGGGGCCATGGGTTCGAATCCCGTTGAAGTCCCGAAATTTTTTCGGGTTAATTTGCAATTGCTTATATTGCAATTACCACAGCGACGATCATATCTTTATTTAAATTGTGTAGAAGTCTACCTTGTATAGAAGGAAGTTATCTTGACGGTTGGACTAAAGAGTATGGTCATTTACCACATATAGGAGTTCTTTTTTCCTAAACGTCGCGCCCACTTTTTATCTTAAGCATTCAACAAACCTCCCACTTTTGAACCTTTCACAGTCCGCCCACTCAGCAGTTTCCAAGGATTTAATGTCAGATCACGTTTTGTTCCTATTCCAATGATCACAGTCGTTCCCCATGCCAGGTGACTAGATTCAAATGCTGCTTCCTGCGACAAAACATAAGACTCGAATATGTACTGATAATGACGTATCGCTAGTAAAATAAACGATATACATACGATCGACCTCGTTTTATCCCCAGTTCAAGAGTGCTAGACGTCATAATTCTACAAAGCCTCAAATTCTATCTTCAGTGATAATATATAATAACAGAAGATAATTTTGCTTTGTTTTGCCAATCAAGGCCCGAGGAGAATTTCTTTGACTGTTCGTAAATTATGTGTACATATTCAAGGGAATAACACAAAACTTGAAAGAAACTGTTCTCTGGAGTCTAGGGGAAAAAAAGAACACCTGATCGGAGGTTATACTTAAGAGAACAACAAATCGGACAAAGAAACCCCGCTCACCATCGTTTCAGCATGGCCAATACATTCAAATGTGTAGTCCAGGCCACCGTCGGTCATTACTTTTAAGATCTGCGAGAATTAAACATCAAAGTATCAAAGGTTATACTTACATATATTAAGGGAAAACAAAGTTTTTACGTTTTCCATAAGAATTAAAAAAGAACTGTTGGTAAGAGAAATAACAAAAATGGTCAGTTTCTTAGGGGTTTCTCTAAACATTTCATAAAGAAAAAGTGTTAAGGTACAAGTATCTGGAATGGGAATTTTCACAGTAGCTGCTCTACATTGTATGTACACATTGAGCATAATAAGAGCGAGTTTATTACCTGTTGAATAGGCTTGGTATGATCATTAGGATTAAGACATTCAGTACATCCTAAATCTTTAGCTGAATAAAAAGAGAAAAATATCCGCTTAGGCTATCCATTCATTCCATAGGACACTTGCAAGAAAAAGTTACAATCAGTTTGATTATTTTGTCTTGCAGGATCAGTTAACAGGGAATTACCGATGAGGAGGAGTCCAGTTTTGAGGTCCTTCCAGGTGACGACTTCAACTTGATTTATATGGTGGTAGAGTTTACTTAGCTCAGTGAGTTGGTAGAACTCTGGTCTAGAGAGCCAGCTGAGGTCACGAGCACGATTCCCACGACCGTGCCATTATTCAGGGTCTTGAAAGTAACTCAGGAAAAGGGTATTGCGTCATCTCCAATTTGCAAACGGTTAAGTTCGGCTAGGACTTCGCCCACCTCGCGGACCGTCTCCCAGAGAAGACGTAAAAATCGAGTCTCCAAACAGCAGATGTGCGCTAAATACTCCGACACTTAAATGAAGTCTTTTTTGAAATCCCTTTCAGACCTTACTACAAGTACACTTCCCTCTTTACTTCGCGCGATAGTTTCGAAATCTTATGTCGCATAGAAATTAAATCAGACCAGCATTTTCAATTATTCTTTGGCATATCGAGCTAAATTATAGGAAGGCATCGACCCCTGTCAGGAGCCCATAACAAGAAGCAAGCAACTCCCTCGTACCCATGCAACGGCGTTCTTACAAACCAGTTAATTTTAGATCGATTTTGCAGCAAATTTTGAATATGAAATAAGTCTTACAAATCAGTCAACAAAAACTGGAAACTAACAAAATAAATGTATATCTCATGTTTTGATAGCATTTATTTCTTCTTTTTGTTATCGTACTATCTTGGATGCGCACGCATATGGAACGGTGCTTCCGCGAGAAAAAGAGATTAAAATGATGTGAAAACGCTGTTACTTATACTATGGGGTTTGCTTGCTCTGAGTTACGGGCTCCTACTCCTGTTGGATGTACTCGCACAAGCACGTGTACAAAAGTAAAGAGAGCTTTTTATGAAGATAACCCTTAATTCTACTGTAAACAGATAAAGTTTAAACTAATGCCTACCTATATCGAATTTTTCAGCTTTAATATCAATCCCAATGATCCTTGCAGCCCCAGCAGCCTTACATCCCATTACCACAGACAATCCGACTCCTCCCAGACCCCACACGGCCACCTTGGACCCAGCCTCTACCTAAAAAGAGAGCACGTGTCATTAATTTTTATTTTCAAACTTAGTAAAGAAAAACAGAGAAAGTCGTAGAATAAAGATAGGTGTCCGTAAGCAAGTCGTTATACAAAGAGAAATTCAAAGGAGGGTTTCCAGTCAGGGAAGGGGGTGGGGTGGGGGAACTCCAGGGAAGTTTGAGCAGAAGTGTGCTACCGAGGCCTTCAAACCCAAGACTTGTCTGTTCAAGACAAAAATCGTTCATTTTGCTCCCTTATTTAAAAAAAGAGAGAGCTCGTTGAATGACCCTGATTCATTTGTTTCGCATCTAGAATTAAATTGGTTACCCCGGATCATAGAATTAGATTTTTTGGGAAAAAAATTGTTGGTACCACAAATGTAGACTATTTATCGCCAACCTTCACACTCTTTTAAAGGCTTCCGATCCACAAAGACACCATCTTTAAGACGCTAAAAAGTGGAATTATATACCCTGTTTGAGACTCAAGACTCTGAAAACCATACCCTGTTCAGCGACACCTACCCATTTAGGCCAAATAAGAGTGTGATCAGGAGCCCATTATCGGGAGCGAGCAACTCTTATACTAGACCTATGTCACGCCGTTTATACGGGCCAGTTTATTTTTAGACACATTTGAGGGCACTTTTTCACGCGAAAATAGAATTTGCACCATGTCTATGAGAGCATTCGAAGTATAAGATATCAAAAAGGAAAACTGAACGTTATTATAAGACAAAAAATATTATTTTTAGGTCTGTAGGTTTTGCAGACTGGTTTTTAGAATTTAAAAGATATTCAAAATTCCAGCCTGTGTACAGACGTCCCCCCTCCCTCAGAAAAAAAATCGGGAGAAGAGTCTCTTCTCCCGATTTTTTCTGAGGGACGGGTGGACGTCTGTACACAGGCTATCAAAATTCGCGCCAAAAAAATAAACTAGTCCGTCAAAACGCCGTGACACGAGCGCATGGAAGTTGCTCGGCTCCGGCTTATGGGCTTCGGGTGTGATTGTGCCTTTTCTGGTTATTCTCCAGAATAGGAAGGATTCTGAATAAGCGGACAGGTAGTTGTTGATAAAGTCTCTAAAAAAGTGCCCCCCGGCAAATGTGCTATCTATCAGCCATATTTCGTTACCTTAGCTGTATTGAGTGTTGCACCGTATCCAGTCGACACACAGCAACCAATGAGGCATGCCCTGTCTAGCGGCATACTTTCAGCAATCTATTAAAAAAAAAAGAAAAGAAATTAATATAACTTTAATTCTACCCGCGAAAACCGTTCTATTTTCTAGTCCAAAATACCAAAGTAAAATCCCTTCCTCTGTGAAATGGACACTCATAGTCAGACACGTGTTTTGTTTTTTTTTTTGTTTTGTTTTGTTTTTTTTACAGCGAATAATATGTGATTGGCTGTTACCAGCTGAAGTGACAGTGTGCGCGCCACATGGCTAAGGTCCCATTTATACGGAGAAAAGTTGTCCCGGCTGAAGGGTCACTTGCCTACACAAGCTAGCCTGGAGGAGCCAACTTCTCTTTCATTTCCTTACAAGACGTGCCGAACCGTTCACATGACGAAAAAGGCTGCCTCGGGCTAGAAGGGTCAACTTGGCCAAGGCATTACAATCAGAGCATGCGCGAGCGCCCTTAGCTCAGACAAAGGAGTCAACTTTTTTCTCAAAAAGACCCTCGCTTAAGATGAATTTGCTGTGAGGGTGATCTTCTTTCCCGGGACGACTTTTCTCCATATAAACGGAGCCTAAGTAATTGATGCTTGAGCTGACCAGGTGCATTCAAACTGTTCAAAGCCTGGCCTCTGACCAGTGTCCATCAAGCCTTGTAACTTAGATTGTCCTTAAATTCGGCATGACAGTTTTAAATACTATGCAGTTTTGAAGTTTCTAATAATGCTACAAAAAAAGTATGAACTACTTCACCTTTATAACACCTATTTCAGGAACAACACTGTATTCACCGAATGTGCTGACACCATAATAATGATACAGTTGTCTTCCTTTGCATTTTAGTCGTGTTGTGCCATCTAACATTACTCCTGTTTCAAGTTCGTCCATTCTGTCAAGAAGGAGCGAATGTAAAAGTAATCTACTGACATCTCTTGACCAAATATCCATTTACCATTATGTACGGTCCTACTATACGCTTGACTCTTACTATACAGTGACGATACGCATTGACTGCACTGATATAAACAAAAGTCCGGAAATGGAGGGATGAAGTACAAAACGCTGCCTTTAATCACCTTTGAGTCGTGTCAAAGGCGTGGCGAAGATGATCTCAAACAGACAGCGAAGCCATTTTAAGGTGGAAACGTAGCAGGAAGTTAAGGTTATGCGAAGCGATGGTCTGTGGGTCAAAAACATCCACATCCGATAACCATCTACTAGAGGAAACTACGAGGTGTGGGGGAAATCCCTTTTGAAAGGGACGGGATGTCGTTCGTCTCTAGTGAACACTACAGATTCTGGTGTCGCGAAGGGAGTTCATGATGGAAAATCGGTATCCAGGTATAGCTTAGGGTTTGCACAAACAAGGAACTATCTAAACATATTATTACCACTGCAGAAAAGCTTTTATTTGATTATCTCGACAAGTATGGTCCCCTTTCGCAATCAAGTCAAGCCTGGGTCACGGCCATGCAGTTTGGTCTCCTTGCGGTTTAAGGTTTTTCGATACAGATTTTCGCAGACCATACTGACGTTTTTCAATCACCTTAAACGTAATTTTATTCTTGTCTGATCGCTACAAAATTTTCACCAGTGATTAACTATGAATTGAAGTTTGTCAAAATGCAGTTTTTAGTAAAATCGATATCACTATGACAACAAAAAACAAAAAACTTTGAAATCGATTAAATCCGAATTTCACGCGATCTAGACCTGCTCCTGAAAATCCTACACCGAGGCGTGCCCAAGGGAACCTGTTGCCTTTCCCGCGCTGGGGAATTTTCTCTGTGGCGTGAACACTTGAACAAAGGGTGTGTTAACACCTAAAGTGCTCAGTCGATAATCTATTTGGGCACCCTATTAGGGCACCAATTCAAGTATAAACAAAGCCGAGGTCTTGTTCCCTTTACCTGCAACAAAGGTTGGTCTTAGGATTCCTGCAGTATGTGCATTCTCCACAGTTGGTTATGTATGACACTACCACGTGATCACCTTTAAGCACGGGGAGAATGAATGGAAAACTAGATCAGGGTTAGTTTGTGAATTAAGCGTCAACGGTGACATTTCTCTCTTGTCAGTGTTAAACTGCTCATAGCTAAGAATTAATCTGAGCACAGAAAAAAATTATCTTCCTAGAAATATTACTGCCCAAATTTATATCTTTGCTCTGGGATACATTTCTATGTAAATTTGTTTCCTCATTTTTCTGGAAATTTAAGCCCGTTTTTCACAAGACTTACTAATTTCAGTATGATGAATATAATCTATCTGTGAGGATATATTTTTGTTTCCATAAAAATCAGTAAAACATTGCAATTTTGCGTGGCATCACTGCAGAAGTCCATTAAGTCTGTGAAATTAGTACCATATGAAAATACTGCCAACTTTATTTAGTTACCTGGCTTGACAGACGTTACTCTCCCGCCAATGCTCTCCACAATTCCGGCTCCTTCATGTCCAATTATGCAGGGAAAGACAGCATTTACATAGCCACCGTTGAAATAAGTCAAATCTGAGTGGCAGACGCCTGCTGCTACCATCTTGATGCGTACTTCTCCTGTGCTGGGTGGGTTAACCTCAACTGTCTCTACAACAAGAGGCTTACCATTCTCCCAGGCTACCGCTGCACGGCAGGATATAGGCTGGCAATAGAAACAGCAATGATAGAAGTGCCACCCTTTCATTTTTTCTATGTTTCTGCTGCTACTGCAGCTCCAAAGTCGAAGTTTGCGATCAGGGTTTTTAAAGACATACAGATATAAAATCGAGGGTAGACAAGTACAGGGTATGTTGGCTTCTTCTAACGGCCATCCCCGGTGGGGGCGTCGGTTGAGTATTGTAGGAGCTGCTCGGAAGGTCTCTCCTAATTATTGGATTGTGTGGGGTCAGGGAAACGCACCACTGGTGACTTCTCTTCCAGCTGCTACATAGTCAGCTCCCATCTAAAAACCGGGTATGCTTGTCGTCTGGCTTAAGGTGCACATTTTGGTCTCATTTTGGGTCTTCTGGACGGAAATCAATATTTTTATCCCTGAAGGTATCCCTCACGGTTGCGCATAAAAATTATCTCTAGAGCATTTTCTTACGACGTCACGGCGACCATGTTGGTGTTCCAAACCAATCCTGTGGGAGTTTGTAAACGCTTTCTTTTGTTCTAATTAATTAGCTATGCCGAGCGAGTGAAAACAATTGAAATCACTTAAGTTCACAGTCTCTTTTAGGGGTCAAATAAAATCCGAGCCACACCCAGATTGACGACGAGTATCTCCGTCCTTCATATTGTTGGTTTTCACATGACGTCACTGAAATTCAAACTACATAACTATCGATCCTACTGAGATTTTACTTTCATGATGTATTAGACCAGCTGAAAACTAATTTTCATGAAAATTTTCGCTTCAAAAGGGTTCTTGGTTTTGTGATAGAGTACGTTTGAATTTTTAAGCTTTTGCGTGACGTTGCATTTACATGACGGCCGAGAAAGCTGTCACGTACGTTAAAAAAGTGATGTATTTCCGGAATTTTGCTATCTAAACAGTTCGTGGATTAGAAAAAGTATTACTTTAATGTTTATGAGTTCCTCGAGGAATAAATTCACGTTTTTGTAGCAAAACTCGGTAACAGATGTTTCTCTTGGTTTCCGTCCGCCATGTTGGTGCCCATGCAGGTGGGCACCAGCATGGCGTCTCCATACAAATCTCTATAAATTTGGGTAAAACATTTCTTCAAACATCTCGTATACGAAATATTCTTCTGACCTGAATCTTGGCGAGGGTCTTTGTATATTTACCTCCTCTCATTTCCCAGATTCCGGACTTCATCTATTGAACGGTTTTTATTTTTTTTATTTTGATCTATTTTGAATGGCGTGACACTAAAAACCAGCAATTGGAGCCTCCCCCGAGTGACTTCCCTTAACCCTTTTAGCCCCAATATCCACATACAAATTCTCCAAACTGATCTCTATACATTTCCTTAAAGAATGAGTTGAGAGAATTTGAGAAAAGATCAAAGTATTTCCTCTTAGGTGATCATTTAATTAATTCCCATAACCTCATCTCATGATAATGTATGGATATCGTTAGGGAAAAATTGCTGTTGGTCACTATTGGGACTTAAAGGGTTAAACAACGGGCCTCGGTGGACAGCTCCCCACAATACTCTTGTTTTAACAATCAGCCATGTTATTACCATGCACTTAAGCATGTCCCCACCCCTGACAAGTTTTTCGCGCTAGTGATCTATTTTATTTATTTATTATTTTATTTTATTTATATATTATTTTTCCTTTTGGTGCAACACCATCTTTGTAAATGGTAGTGCAAAATAAACATTGTTACTGTTACTGTTGTGATGTATAGAAATTTTTAATATGTCTTGTCACTAACGGTGACAATTCAAACAGTGCTACCTGTTCATTTCTGGTAAAACATATAATCAGTGACCATAAAAACGTTCTAAGCGGGTACGGATACTGTGAACCTGTGGTGCAAACGGCAGTTTTTCCTGCCGTAAATCTTGTCTGAAAAGATCCATGTTTTACAAGTCCAGTCTAGTCCTTATTTTACAAATCCTTGTTTTACAAATCAGGTCCAGTCCAGTCCAATCGGGTCTTCATTTACGTCACGGCTTAAGGGAAGGTCGCGTGACGAAGGGACCAATATTTTATCGGATGCAAATGATGATATGACAAAATAACAATTAATTTAACATAGCACGAGAATGCAGATTCAAACTTCGTAAAATCTTGATATCGAAATGGGTTTTATAAGGACCTGGATATGGAAAAAGACTTGTACTCGTTCCCAAATAAATAATCAACGCTTATTTTGTTTGGATTGCTGTCAATATGCAAAACAACCGTTCTTTGATACGAGACAAGGGGTTTCCCATCTCGTCTCGAGGTAAATGACCAAGAATACTGACTGCCGAAACTAGTAGCCTCTTCTTTGTCTTTTAAAATAGGTGTCTGTTTGATAAACAATACCTGATAATCAAGATGCCGACGTCCATGTGTGTCAAATTTAGCGAATTTCTAGCCACAGTCAGCAATGACTTCTACTAATTGGTCACCTAGGGGGACAGACGAGTGGCCTCGTAGTGAAGGTTTCCGTTTTCAATTGATCTTCTGAAAATTTAGCCCTCTTAGACTAAGATAAGTGACAGCCAAATAGAGGATGTTTGCGTGATAGGCTGCTAAATACAGAAGTTCCACTGAATTCTCCGGTCGACTTCTCTATTAAACAGTTACTTCCATAGTAGTTTCCATACCTTACCTTTCCCTCCGTCTCGAACATATCTTGTTAAAGTGAAAAAAAATCAGATATCGTGTGGACCGTTTACAACTTTGCTATTATCCAGCAGTCGCTGCACTTGGAGTCACCTCACGAAGAAGGCAAGACATTCGTGACTGTGGTGACTTGCTGGCAAGGTCAGTCACGCTATCTCCGCACACGTAACACGTTGACGTCCAATCACATAAAGGCAGACCCTGATTTTGTCGAATATTCTTCGTTTTTACCGTCACGCAATACAACCGGCACAAAAAAATACTGGAAACCGTCCAGTGGAAGAAGCCAAGAAAGTGAAATGTTATAAAAGACTAATATATTAAAAATGTTTCCAAATCTCAGGTCTTTGTGGCCCACAGTTTCTGAGTTATTTGCCGAAACATATCACGCACATTTGTAGAGCTTTGTATGGAGACGCCATATTGGTGGACAGTTTTAGTCCACCAATGTGGCCGCCGGAAATCAACAAAAACATCTGGAGTTCACTTTTTCTCTAAAAGCTCTTTCTTTTCACTCGAGAGCTAGCATACGTGTTTATAAACACATCTTTTAATACTTGAAACTGGTTTTTTGACTTTGCAATTTGATGACGTCATTGTGAAAACCATCAATATAGTAGAACCTCCTAACTTGAACTCTCAAAGGGACCAAAAACATTTCGACTTAGCGGGGCTTATCGTTAAAAAATAAAATACTGAAATTTGAGTCTGCATAGTTACAGGTTCCGGGGGGGGGACTACCCATATAAAAATGAAGGGGATGCTCGTCGTCTCGCTTTGGGTGTAAATTGCAGATTTTGGTCTCACACGGGGTGTTTGGGATTGAAAGTTACTACAATCCCTAAGTACTGTGCATAACCGGAAAGTTACAAAAAATGCCCTGACACTGACCACACAGAACTCTCCCTTAGGGGTCAGTTTAAGCTTGAGTCAAACCCACATTGCTCTTCCCTTAGGGGTTAATTTGAATTTTCCGACGTGTATCACCGTCACTTTTATAAGGGATTCCCCCCGGGGTACCAGGTTCGACTTTACAACCTCGTTCCTACGGCTTTCCCTCTGTGCTGCCTAAACGGCTTTCAGCGACTTCATGATGATATTACTTACTTAGAGCAGGGCTTATAAGAATATATACATAAATAAACATTTGAAAGTAGAATTTTCGGTTCAAAAGATTGATAACGCAATCCGTGCCCTGAATAAAAAGGAACGGTCAACCAGACCCATTCATTTGAAACCAAGTTGGCCGCCCGAAAGGGTGAGTTCTGAATCCCGACGATCTGAGTAGCGGATTGTAAATATGCTAATTATCTGATTGGGGAATATTTTAGAAAAGCAGCGGATCTTTAATTTTTTCAGCGATGCTTTTTATAGCAGTTTTCGTATCTTAGCCGGAGTCTACAACAGGGGTCTATGATTTAACATATATCTAGCCAGATTTTTGAAAACGTCTTTACTACTAAATAGATCTTTTCTGTCAAGCAGCTTTTCTTTCAGCCAAGAACCTCAAGCTGGCCGATATAAAACCATAGCTTTTTTCTATTTTCATCCTTTCTTCCCCTACGCTCTTTCTTTTTCTCCTTTCTATTCCTTCGCTAGAGTGATTTTCGAGCTTATTGGGCGCAGAAAACCTGCCTGAACCGTATGAACGTGAACGTGGTAATAAACATTCTCATAAAAGAGCAACTGAAGCTTTTCTCGTTCAGGAACTTTTTACTCTGTGATGTAGTTGTCGAGTTATGTTTTTAAATCAACTCAGAAAATTCTTCACTTAATTCTCAGCTTGCGCCTTACCCATAATACATCTTGTTTGCACCACTGACCAAACAGATTGCGTAACCTTCGTTTATTATTTTTGCCAGGTATTACAGCCGTAACTAGAGAAATTGAAGGAAATATAATGCAAAATGTTGAGGGGACAAAAAAGGTGAATTGTGGGAAATGCGTAATAAGTTGCCAATCTGTGCTTTCTTGTGATTTTATAGTCTTTTGGCCTTACATTACTTCAAGGTCCTAGATTTCACTATTGATTTTGAGATCATGCCGTTTTGAACGCGTCAATCATCCGATCCAAAGCTTCGAGAACTTCTTCTGTTGTCGGTTCGCCATCAAAGCATGTTTCGTTGAAACCAATCAGTTGCTTGATCACGGGAACATCATTTACTTTGAAATCTCCCTTTTTCAGGAAAAACCCCTGAAGGTCACAAATCTGGAAGTATTTCCCTTTTATCATGTAATTTCTGATCTTGACCAGATCACGAGCGGTGCTTTTCAGGTCGCCAGTCGTGTACGTAATCACCTTAGCAATCAGCTGACCCACCTTGTTTGCAACAATACTATCTCGAATGTGCTGGAATTCGCCAATATCACGCGACACCCATTTTTCCAGAAAACCACTGCATTCTCCACTCTTCTCCTCGCCTCATTTTTCACCTGTAATGATGGGCTGGTTCG